GCTAGCGAGGGAGCATCAGTAGACTACCGTGGACCTAGCCGAGGTGACGGCTGGGGTGGAGGATGGCGAAGGAGGTGTGGCCACATGCGGCCATGTCGTGCGGCAATGCATAGCGGTGGCGCGGTCGCGTTAGTGGCAACGGGGAGGCGGTAGAGGTTCCACTGGCGTGCGCAAGGTGAAGAGGGAGGCAAGGTGAAGCTAGTGGTGCAGGTGAATTGGCTCGAAAGGGACGGTAGGAGGGCTGCCCACATCCATGGCCGGATGTGGCCTTATCGGCATGGCGGTGGGGAAACTCCAAGATTGGAGTTTGGTAGTGCCTTCTTCATGTCTGGGTGGGGTCAGGCAGCGAGAGTGCGTGATGGTGAAGCCGTGGATGCGATGAATTGAATGGAGGTGATCGCTCGCTAGGTAATTTGGTGGCACGGCTCTACGGCGGCAATAGAGGGAGAAAGAAAGAAAGAGAGAGACGGGGCGCGGCAGGTGGGCTTAGCTCGGCCTCGCCTTGGCGGGATGCGATCGACGTGATCGTGGAGGCCCACACAAAGGCGCTAGCAGACAGGCACGCGTGTTTGCGACCAGGATCCAGCGGCGGCCAGACGATAGCCAGGCCAAACCAGTCATGGCCAGCCACACGCGGCAGCGCGTGTGCGCGCGGGACAGCCAACGAGGCGACGCCGAGCGCCCGAGCGTGGTGACCGCGCCCACGCGGCCAACTAGCCTGAGACCGTGTCATGCATGAATTTTAAAGCGCCTATAAAAACTAAACGGTTGCTTCTAGACCTAAACCATCTTCACCATGCTCAAGATGGCATATGAGACTACCAAATTGAGCTATAACACTACACCACCCCTTAATCTAATCTCTCAAAATAATTTGCTAAACATATAAATGTCTAGCTGTTGACAAACTTAGAAACTTTTCTAAGTTTTTGAGCTGAACTTGATTTCAATTTGCAATTTCTTGGCTAGTAGAAATAGTAGATAGTAATATCATTTTTTAACAGCAAGTATTTCACTGTCATCTTCAAAGTTCAAATTCTAAACTTTATTTAAGCGCCACATATATGTTCTATAGCATTTTTGTTCAATAAAAATTGTTTTAAACCCTACTTGATATACATGAGCTATTGAATCAACTTTCGTTTAACATTTTTATTAGTCATTTTAGGTTACAAGAAATTGATGTACACACTTTATCACATGTACTAACACATAAACATGATGCTCATGACATATTTTAGTAAATGATTTAGAGTGTAACACCGAGGGTGTTACATCCTTGTCCTATTCACCATTTAATTATTTAGTCATGTGCATGTGTCTAATTTGATACTCGTAAGGATCTCCTAGTTATTGTTACCTTGTACCTTGATTACCGATAGGTTATACTTGCATATGGGTAGCTGCTAGCGCTCAAATTAACTATACATGATCTGAATGATGATTAATGGTTCTATGGAACGAATGGTAAAACTTGCTCTTAGCATCCGGACGATAGGGTGAGAGAGCAATTGGCTTTTATACAAGATGCTCTTGGCCCTCCCTAAGGACTTATCTGTTGGCAAAATCTAGGACATACAGTACAACTAGGGGTGCCACATGGCTCTGGCCTTAGCTAAGTAGTGGGACCTTTTCTAGCTTGTTAGTAGTTACCCAAAAGGGCGCAAATGGGGCCTACCGAGCTGAGTATAGTGCGACCTCTGTCCCTATGTGTATAGCCTGCACAGAATGTGCCTCGAAAGGGGGGCTCTATATTCCCTTGCCAAGAAAACCTAGTGGTTACTAATTTGTTAGGGAAACCTTTGAAAGGCTTTATAGTGAACCCTGTCGACCTCCCTAGGAAGGGGGTTAAGAGACTAGCTACCTCGAGCGAAAGGGTAAATCATGGCTCGTGGTGAAAGTATACAAACTTTGCAGAGTATTAAAATTGGTATCACGGACACGAGCGGCCCCAAAACTGACAGAATAGTTGCTCACTTGATGATGATGTTATTAATGATGATAATTTTAATGATGACTATTACTCATGTTTATGATCATGTGGTTTAATTGGGGCTTGGGCGCATCTAAATGCTAATATAGTGCTAAAACTTTGACTTATTAAAATGCTAACCGCAGTAAACCAGTGTCAGCCTCCTGAGCTTCATAAACCCATGTTATTCTTGTTGAGTGCAAGATGTACTTACACTTATTTATTTTCATTATTTAGATAAAAATCCCGGATGGATAACAGATGGTAATGGTTATGAGGACTATCTTGAGGATTACTAGACTTGTGCTTCACCAGTCGGTGTCCCTATGGAGTTTGTGGCTCTCGTGGAGAGTAGTTATTTAGTTCTTCTGCTTTCATGATAGACTTGATATTATTGTAATGAATTATTGTTTGTGTTGTAATAAACACTGTGATAATACTTTGTAATTTGTCAACTTATGTGTGCGACTGATCTCTGGGCGCACATAAGATTTATGCATTCTATTTTATTATTAAAATCGGATGGGACAAATAAAGCTTGAACTATACTATGTCAAAATAGACTACTAGAGCATTACTTATGTGGAAGATAATGCATACAAGCATTCATTTTGTTAGTTCATTCTATTTGGGGTTACATGAGATGTGACTTCGGCACTACTACTCTGGAGGAAGAAGATATAAGTTTGAAAGGTCAAGTAGTGCCTAGAAAGGATACCTTTCGATATTTAGGATCAATGCTACAGAGAGATGGAAATATTGATGAAGATGTTAGCCATAGAATCAAAGCAGGGTGGATGAAGTGGCGCCAAGCATCTGGTGTCTTATGTGACAAAAGGGTACCACAGAAGTTAAAAGGCAAGTTTTATAGGACGACGATTAGACCTGCTATGTTGTATGGTGCAGAATATCGGCCTACGAAAAGACGACATGTTCAATAGATAAGTGTCGTGGAAATACGTATGTTGCATTGGATTTGCGGTCATACAAGAAGGGATCGAGTTCGGAACGATGATATACGTGATAGATTAGGGGTAGAACCAATTGAAGAAAAGCTTTCCAACACCGGTTGAGATGGTTTGGACATGTTCAACGGAGACCTCCAAAGCACCGATGCGTAATGGAATCCTAAGCTAGGATAGTAACGTGAAGAGAGGCAGAGGAAGACCGAAGTTAATTTGGTAGAGGCGATAAAAGAAGACTTGAAAGGATGGAATATACCTAAAGACTTAGCCTTATATAGGAGTGCTTGGAAAACAGCTATTTACGTGCCTGAACCTTGATTGCTTCTGCTGGGTTTCAACTCTAGCCTACACCAACTTGTTTAGGACTTAAAGGCTTTATTGTTGTTGTTGTTGCTGCTGCATTCTATTTGGGGTTATAATTACCTTGTAAACTTTAGCAAAATCACCCCACCCAACGTTTCTATCCTCTGAGAATGTGTCGGTAGCATCGACAATCTGAGAGAATTCAAACTTTCTGAATCCTGAGCAACTCTCTTCAGTACGGGTACAGAGCTCCAACAGTTCTTCAGTGTCCAGAATCTTCTGTCCTTGCAAATCAATTGCTCCAATTGAATCTTCTGCCATTGAGAGTATATCCTTGTCACCGGTGGAACTGCCGGACTCATCTGGCTAAGCTAATAAAGAAGTACAGTGAGAACAATCAAGCTTCTTTGATAGATCATCATATTCGAAGACAAGTGTAGGACTTCAGGTTAGAGTTTGCATATGTATCTTAAATATATGTTAGTACTATTAGCTAGCTTAGTGCTCTTCCATGACTCATGCTTAGTTTCTTTCTATATATGATGCATGAGATTCTGTGTGGTACAGGAAAGTGGTACAAGTTTATTAAAACTAGTCACACAAGCACTTTTATTCTCTCCGTTGCAGTATGTTCAAAAACATGGAGTATCAACAACAGTTAAAGCATTAGAGATTCTTGAAGCGATAACATTGAAATGAAAATTTGAGTCTCTTGATATGTTTTTAGTCCACGACTAAGAGCATAAGGAAATCATACTATTATAGAGGTAACTATCTACCTGCAAACGGTTGTTTTGCAACATTACAAATTTTAGGAGCTCCTTGAACTTGTATTCTGGTGAAGTCCTCAACACTTCTTGGAAATCTGATCATTATGCCAAAACCATCAATGGTTTGAACATTATTTTTAAACAATGCAAACTTGAAAACATATAATTGTAAAAAACAAAAAATAATGGTGTGTAAAACAGAAAAAAAACTGATGGCATGATTACATATGACTAGAGATTGACACCAATTAACAGGGGGAGTAGGTGGCCATATGGACAAGGCATTAGTTTTATTTTTGAAACAAGAAAAAACTAAAGTCAAACAAAGTCACAGTTAAACTCATATAGAAAATTCATAGTTGGGTCCATCTAAAAAGTAGTTGATTCAAGTTGACTGACCTACTACATAAGCCCCAAAACAGAACTCTTGCACGAACGTTGTGATCTCGACCAACTATGATCGATGATTATCTATTCTTTCCATCCACATGGTTTCATTTTCATGTTGCCAATTTCTTCAAAGGCATGACATAGATTTGAATTATGCGAGGAATCAATTTGTTGACTTTTAATCAACTACATTTAATAAACAAAATAAAACCTGATGTGATGATGGCTTGACCCATTCATGATTACAACTGGCACTCCTTCAGCAGCCTGCTGGTGGACAAAGACTTTAAAGTCAAGAAGTATTGTTGTCAAAAAAAAAGAAGTCAAGAAGTATTACTGATGTCATCTATCTATAGGACTAACCTGTTTATTTTTTTAAAAATTAATTATACACACATATAAAAGAACATTTGATGAATTCATTGGTAGTAACTTCTACAGAATTAGTTTGTCGATGCTACTTCAATCGGATTATAGACAAAATGAATGGCCCTATAATAAGCTGTTCTTAATAGCCATACAAATAACATGTTCACACATGTTTCATGAACTGCCAAAACTAATCAACAAGCTAAAACAGGACCTACCGTGACCCGGCGTTCATGTGTAGTGTCGACAAGCGCGATAAGCGGGACGAGGCGGATGAACATGTCGATCTCCTGCTCCACGGCGCGGAGCTCTTCGGCCATCCGGGCGTCGACGAACAGGCTGCGGAGGTACCCGCAGTCCTGGCAGGCCGTGACGAGGGCGTAGCACCGCCGCAGGGCATCCTGGAGCTGCTGGAGGGGACCGCGTGGCCTCCCGCCGAATCAGCTCGGCGAGCTCCAGCTCCCGCAGCAGGCCGCCGACGATATCCACGTGCTGCGCCAGGCGCCGGCACGCGTCGCGGTGGCGGCGCGCGGCCAGCGCGGCCTGCACGACCATGGACACCAGCCCGAGGGCGTCCACGCCGACCAGCTGCGCCACGTTTGAGGCCTGCCCGAGCACGGTCCACAGGCCGCTCGAGCTGACCAACGGGCTCGCCATGGCCGCTTCCTGGGCCTCTCCTGCTCTGAACCTCGTCACCGTCACTGCGTGCGCCATCATACGGGTCAACCGGTCAGGTCAGGTGACTGGTGACTGGTGAGTACTGCTGCTGAACAGTGACTTTGACTAACCGTGGCACTTGTGTGGAGCTTTTGGAGAAAGAAAATCTGTTCACAGATGGTCAAAATGGGCCGGCCTGCTCAGCATTGCTGAATTGTTGGCATCTAGCCCAACCTCAACAGGCCTCACGAGAGTTACGTGTTGCCCGTGCAAAAGTTTAGTCCGTGTCACCTGCGACGTTCGAATGTTAACTAGATGACTAAATATGAGATAATTATAAATTTAATTGCACATGAGTAAACTAATTAGCGAGATAAATCTATTAAGCATAATTAATCCATGATTAGCACATATACTGTAGCACTACGTTGTCAAATCATAGACTAATTAGGCTTAATAGATTCGTCTCACAGATTAGCCTTCATCTGTGTAATTTATTTTTTAATTAGTAAATATTTAATACTTCTAATTGGCATCTAAACATCTGATGTGATGGGACTAAAGTTTAGTCCCCTAGTGTCCAAACACCCCAGTCGCAGGGCATGTTCGGTTCCTCGACAAACAGAGTCACATCAATATACCACAAGTTTTTAAGCAAGTATTTAATTTACTATTGAAACTATGAGGTGATATACTTTCTTAGCACCCTATTTTATACGTCATAGGCTTATTTTTCTGTAAAACTTCGCCGCCAGTGTGTCTTCAATTTTACTTGCCACATTTTCTGTGATACACAATGTAACTAAGGTTAGGTGCAGTAATATTTGAATGAACTAAGCTGGCCTTTTAACTTAATTATTATGTCTATCATATTTTTTAGATTTATTTTAAAAATAACTTTATTTATTTAATAATTAGTGCAATCCTAACAATTGCTAGTTTAATCTCTCAATAAAACACTTTCCCAAGTTAGTAAGAAAGCTGGCAATTCTCATTTTTGGATGGGCTTAATGGCAGTGAAAGATCAAGTTTTGAATTTGGTGAGGTTCAACTTAAGGGACGGTTCCCAAATCAGGTTATGGGAAGATACCTAATTAGGGAGCCAACCTTAAAGTTACAAATTTCCAAACTTGTACAACATAGTTCGCAAAAAACATGAAACAGTAGTCAAAGTATTCAGCACTACTCCCCTTAATATCTCTTTTAGAAGGACACTAATAGGAAATAAATTGCTGGAATGGAATAATCGGATTGCAACTATTGCGAATGTAAACCTACAAGAAGGGAAGGATATTATCACATGGACCTTAAGTAAAAGTGGTAGTTTTACGGTTAGGTCGATGCATAGATACCTCATCACTATCGACATCAAACTACCACTTAAAATCAAGATTTTTCTTTGGTCCCTCAAAAAGGGCGTAATACTAACTAAAGACAACCTAGCTAAAAGAAATTGGCAAGGAAGCAAATATTGTTGCTTCTGCAGTAATTTTGAGACTATTCAACATATGTGTTTTGAGTGTAATTATGCTAAATTTCTTTGGCGTGCGTTGCATATAGTGTTTGGCATTACCCCACCCTGTACTGTAGAAAACAATTTTGGGAATTAGTATAAGCAGTGTGGAAAAGATTTAAGCTTGTTATTACTAGCAGGGGCGGCTGCCTTCTGTTGGTCCTTATGGCTAACTAGAAATGATAGTGTTTTTGATAAGTGCAGTCCTAGAATATATTTGCAGGTCTTATTCAGGGGAACATATTGGTTTCGTTTTTGGGGTCAGTTGCAGCGAAGTGAAGAAAAGAAAGAATATATCTACAAAGCTTGTCAGACCCTGGAGACATCGGCTTTGACATTTTTTTCCTCTTATGGATGGCCCATTATGTGTAGGATTGCGAATTGATTTTCTGTCTTTTTTTGTGAGTCTGCTTTAAACGTAAGTGTGAGAACCTTTTGTAATAATTTAGTCTGATTCCTCACCTTTGAGCGAGGATGAAGCCGGATGTTTATTCCATTATCAAAAAAATCTCTCAAAAATACGCCTAAAGATATGTTGAGATGCCAATATAGGTGCCGAGACCCATGAAAACAGTCTTCATGCCATCCCTAACGTGCACCAGTGCTTCGTCAAAACTCATGGAGCACCAAGAGCAAGGTCCCTATACTCTCTCTAGTTTCTTTTTTTATGTTGTTGTTTAGGGACAAGTCTCCAAAACTTAATTTTCACTATAATTTATGTTGCAATTAGTCCACCAACCCGTATTGACACATTATTTAGAATCACATTAGACATAAGCATCAGATGTTATTGTTTAGTACTAAGACTAATAAAATTTACTTATATTGCTCACTTTTTAACTGTTTACACCAAAATTTGGAAGAAGGGTTTCAGGGGCTCGAGAGCTCCCAAAATTATGTCAGCAAGGGATCAATTGCGTGCAGATCGAAACCGGCTGATTCGGACGCAAAACTAGAATCGGCTTTCTTCAGATAGCGCCAGCAGATAACGACAGAGGCTACGATCGGCGCTGGGACGAGACATGCTGGACTCTACAAAAAGGGAAAGATTAGAGTCCAAGTTATCTTAAATTAGGATTGTTTTCATTTATGCCAAAGATTGTAACAAATCGTGCTCGAGTAGGATTCATATTTAGACTCCGGGTATAAATATCAAACTCCGGCTATGGTAAAAGAACAAACAATCAATCAAATACAAGTCAATTACTTTTTTTGGCTCCGGCCACCCCTTAGAAGTAGGAGTAGAGTAGATCTCGGCGAGTTCTTCAGCGAGTACGGCTGCATCGATCCGGTCGACCTCCACTACTTGTCTGTAAGTACCGTCATGGTTTATATCTCTGTTCGTATGGCTGTATCGATCCGATCAACCCCCACTGCGACTCTGGTATAGGCTAGTTATCGACTCTTGTCTAGTTCAAGTATGGCCTGTGTGATTCTGTCTCACACCCCACTGCTCGAACTAGATCAAGGTCAAGTTATCGGCTCTACCTTGGAATGCCAGTCTTTGGTAGATTCATTAAGTTACCAATATTGCTTATTACTTTCATTGTTTATATAATTACAGCAATATCACTCTGCCCGATTAAGATTGATTTGGATCGGCCTTATATCTTATTTAACCCATCGTTTGTTAATCTAAAACTAATTTAATCTATACATTAAACGATGAGTTATGTTTTATTGGCTGTTTTACATCAATCTTGATCGTGCATAGCGTGCGGTTAAAGCATGTTGCGTCTTGAGTAGATTTATTAACTAGCGAGAACCGTTCCATGGCCCGTTATCACGGCCTATGTGATTCTGCCTCACACCCCACTGTTAACACCGTGGACTGGGAATCGTTATTTGATAGATCTATTCCTGATAATGTATGACTTTAGCTGTGCGTTATGCCTGAATCGACTGTTTTAGGCGATATCGAATGCTTTCATGAATAGTTCGCATCACGAGACCGTTGAAGTAAAGATAGGTTGAAAGATGTGTTAGCCCCATGATTTTATTATTGTATTACGGCCTGTATGATTCTGCCTCATGCCCCACTGATATTAGTAATGAGTTAGGGTCATCGAGTCTATTGTTGTTTCTACGGCCTGCATGATTCTGCCTCATGCCCCACTGGTCATAGCGATAGATAAGATCTAACATGTTCATTAGAGTTATCTTTATTAAACGGTTAAATGGTGTTGAATTATTTCTTTATATAAAAAGGGGTTCGGTTACTTGTAATCATTGGCTTAGCATAAATCGATCATTGTTGATATCTTATTGCCATTGATTAATATTTGCTCAAATAATGATATCTATCTTGTATGATAACCGATTCTTCTTACACAACTCCATGAGTTTTAATCAATTTATTCTTATAAATATGTTGGAATCGACTATTTAGTTGATCTCCTCTCATATCGGCTCTTAGAGCCGCACATTCGGGACTGTTTGGCAACACCGGCAAGTTCCGCCCGAAATTACTGATAAACTTTCTCTCCTTGTCAATTACAGGGTCAAATTAACTGGCTTGTCTCGGGAGGATTGCGCAAGATCGACCATCCCTGCGCTGAAGCTAGGCGGATCTGCTCCATCGAGCGGACTCTTCCGGTTTGCTATGTGTGTACCCAGCACGGAGACGAAAATTCTATGTCGACACACGTTTCTGGCACGTCTGGTGGGACCTCACAATCGTCTTGACGGCTCACAACAACGATGATATCTTTATGGTGCATTATGAAGATCTACTTGATAGAGATAAAGATGTCATCGGCAAAGCTACAGAAGAATTTCAGAAGAAGTGTTTGTTGTCCTACACCAAAACACGTGACAACACAATTGTTCAGAAATTTCCACTACCAAGAGTTATACTACACGGACAGACATATACAGTCGAAGCTGAAGATAGGCGTTTCTTTACGGAAGTCATAGACAAATCTGTTCGTGATGCCATATCAAGCCGTAATGAAGCCTTCGTGGACGCATTTCATAATGCCATGAAAGAGGCGATTCATGGGATTCCAGTTAGTCAGGTTGGATCGACTTGTTACAACATTTCAGATCCGTCAATCCAAGGGACTAATCAAGTCGGTACCAGCCATCAAGAAGCAGCACCAGCTGGTAATGGTGACGTCCAGGCAATTCAAGGTTCATCTGAACAAGCTCAAGGTACTACTACGAATCAGATACAGTATAATCCTAGACCGTCAATACAGCATGTGCAACAGCCGACGGGGCAAGATCGGAACCAGGTGATCAATTTTGCACATCAGGCCACATACCGTCGTTGGCTCAAAAAATAGCACCATCAATTCAAAAGATCTGTAGAGATATAGATCCTTATATCTATAATCAAAGACTTCAAGCAGCAAGCCAGCAGAGGACTCAACAGATCGAGATTCCACATGGGTATCACTATGGCACAGATTATAACACCCTTCACATGATGCCAAATCCAGGATATCAGGGCACACGGGATTTCAATCCACATATGGGTCAGCAAGTACAGAGAAATCAAAATCCATAAGCTGACGAGTTGCTGCTGAAGGTGACCGAGATGATG